CAGAGGGGTGTTCCGATTACAAATAAATATAGACAAAACAAGGATCAACGAAGACGTAGCAAATGCTTCGAGAATCATCGAAGAATTCCAGCAGCTGTGCAATAAAACAAAGGCCCTATCCCAGGAGACCCAGTGTCATCTTTTGTCCAAGCACTTAATTGAAAGAGAAAAAGAGATTCTTCTTGTGAAAGAGAGTATGCAAATAGCAGGAACCCGCAGGAAAAGAGGATTATTTGGAGAACTACTTACCTCAGTCTTTGGAGTAAACGACGAGGTATACAGAGACATCAGCAGCTTGCAGTCGAATCAAGATGAACTTATAAAGGCAGCCAACCATCAGAGCAAAGTAATGATCAGTGCCATTTCACAAATAAACGAGACAGAAGTTCGCATCCAACGTCAATTGGAACAGTTCAGAACAAAATTGAATCAAGGCATTGAGGCAGTAAATGCAATGAAAAACTGGTATAGCGCCGTCGATACCAACTCGTTGAATATTCATCTGTTGAGTGCATACAATCTAGCAAACAACTACCTCGACGAACTATGTGAGTACTACGAGAAACTCGTCAGAATCCTGTACAACAACGCAACACTGTATGAGTTATTAGCGCCAAAACACGTAAAGACAATCATCACAGAAGCAAACAAAAAACTACCCTCAAATCTGAAGATAGTACAAGCACCGATCACATTGACGAAGGTAGAAAAGGACGAGCAATCACTAAAAATATTTACATTTTTCATGATCGAAGATATTTCCAAGTTTGAAGTTCTGAAGATTGTGCCCACGCCACTAAAAGTAGAAAATGGGTCATATTGGACAATTGAAATTCCCAGTGAGATAGTAGCAGTGGACTACAATAATCAGCAATATTTCCAGCAAAGCGATCAAGAATTCACCTCATGCATATCGACATCACAAAACAAATATGTGTGCTCTCCGACAGCAGTGAAAAATATAGAGACCAATCCGAATTGCATAATTGACGAAATATATCAAAGATCGGAGTCAACTCGGTGCGGAGTCCGGAAGAATGGACTAACATCCATTGTTTGGAAGCAACTCTACATGCCTAATACATGGCTATTCATCACAAAAAATCCTACCAAAATAGCAGTGATATGCAAGGGAATCAGAGAAGACATTGCTCTGAACCAAAGTGGAATACTGCAAGTGGAACAAGATTGCATAGTCAAAACGAAACAAAACACTCTGACGACAAGACGAGTAAGCACCGCTCCAGTAATTGCGAGTTATTCCAAGGCGATTCTCATCAACATAACAGACGTCCCGCAAAATAACGAACCAGAACAACTCGAAGAAGAGCCAATTTTCAAAATCTCCGACAGCTTGAATACAGTGAGACTAAATGAAGAAAAGATTCGGGAACAGCTACAAACGGCAATTTGGAAAAACATACAAACCCACACATACGCCGCCACTGGAGTGTCAGCAGCAATAATTTTTGCGATATTATTATTAGGATGGGTCATTCAAAAACAAATAACGAACGCAACCCGACGCAGGCAGAGGAATAGGCCGGAGTCAGCAAAACAAACTGAAATGCTCGAGTTGCAGCCACTACGCAACCTAGACTCAGTCGAGACAGGGGAGAATGTTGAATCAACATAAATTAGAAATTTCAACATAAATTTTAATTTAATCTGAAATTTCTACATCATTATAAAATCCACAATTTATTAGGAAATAAGGCAAGGTAATTAAACCCATCGCAAACCTTGCACAAAGTTACTAAAAAACCACGAATCGATGTTCACGGGTTTTTCACCTTAATTTCCGTTATGATACCGCGTAGCGCCAGTGTTTTAGATACAAAGTCAACACACCTTTAATTGTTATTAAGTTATGAAAAATATTGTAATTAATTATTATTAGTTATGATAAATATTGTTAGGTTCAAATTGAAATATTTAATATAAATAAGAATCAATTTGAATAATAAAGCCAGTATCAAACAATAATAGTTTCTACTCATTTAATTACACAAAGTAGCCATTTGTGATAATTATCCCCAAAGTTCTTCCCTAAGGGCTTTGTAGTCGTTATCTTGGTTCAAGATAACTAGTGACTTTCAGGCAATAATTCCTGGACGTCACGCACAGAGATACGGACCTTGGAGGCCTTACAACCCTCTAGTGAACTACACAAAGGGCCCAACTCTGTTCAGGAGGTAATAATAACTAAATGTCATGACAACAAACCAGTTCTGGTGGCGTCAAACTATATGGATATTGGTAAAAGTAGTTCTAGTCAAAGGTCGAATAACAAAAAAAAAAAACAATGTATAGAAGTTGAAAGGCCAGAAGTAATAACAGACTACAATACTCATATATGTATTAGGCGTAGACAAGCTGGACTTTTTGATTTCCATACACCGAACTATTATACTGCGGAAACGATGATTTTGGTTGACAAGAATAATACAAGAACATTAACCTGTTACGATAAATTTATCATTTACGTAACATGTTCCATCTCTTCTTATTTTCATTATAAAGTTGTATTTTTTCCATTTCAGAATCAGCAAAATAATCTAAAATATCCACAAAGTTCAAAATAATCCAATTGCTGCCATCTATCCATCATCTGCGTAAAATGCAAATATCTTCTATTCATTTACCAGTACTGCCATCTAGTACCTGATGGATTTATTTTTCAAAGTATGATTCTAATTATTTCGCATTTGACAGTCATTTGTATTTCCATTCAAAGAAATTAAATTTATCTCACTTTCAGCAAATGGATATATTTCTGTCGTTCTCTAACCTCTGATTCTGAAATAATAATTTTTTGGATTAATGACCTAATCAATTCACTGTTTTTTATTTTTGACATAACCTTAATTAAAATTATTATAATTTGTAAACAATTAAAATAATTCTAGACATTTTTTATCTATTCTCTTTTATTCCACGCGGTTTTTCATTGTGAAGTGATATGATCTTTTGGGTGTACTTGTCTGATTGGCTGAACTCGTTAAAATGCAGTTAAGTATAAAAAAAAACAGAATCGTTTTCCTGTGGGCTTTGGTTTCTAAAACGATCTCCTTCCTGAACAGAAGTCTGGCAGGCAAGTCCTCTTCATTTTGAATCATTTTTGTTCTTAATTTTTGGATTCTCCCTTATAGATTTTTCAATATATTTTGCTATCAATGCATATTATCATATCATTATTAAGTTTTTACCTGATAAATCTTATCTGTTCTTGAAATATAAATATTATATTTGAATTTTTTTATCTAACTGTTCGCTTCCATTTTGTGTGAGTGTCGATTGGTAATGCCACGTTTATCTGAGGTAAGTCAATGGAGATTTTTGGATTTTAAACAGGCACTACTGCTCTGGTTTCCAGAATTAATTATTAGTGTGGGGATATTGGACCATTTGCTCTAAATTGAGTCGGTGAAAACCAAATTTTGGTTGTCCATCCCTATCAACTCTTTATTGAATCCAGGCAGAGGCCTGAATAGCAATTTTCTGTTTAACTCCCTCCATTATTATATCGACTAAAGGGTGTAATTTTTTAATAAAAATCCAGACAGGTCAAAAATTCAGAAAAATTTTTCAATTAGAACATCTCAAGAATTTTGACATATTCTGGATTTGATTAATTTCAACCCCAGGTTTATCTTGTAGTATCTATAGTAGCTACCTGAATTTGAAAGGAAAATTTTGTCATTTTGGGGGAGAATCCAAAGATTTAATTTCTTATTGTTTTACCTACCTTATTTTGTTCATATTTTTGCCTGCCAGAGCTACTGTCAGGAAAGCAGCATTTCGCTCAATGATACCGAGCATTTTAATTTAATCTTGTAGTTATTATTTTAATTTTATTATTATCTCACCCTTATTCTTAATTATTTAATTGTATTTTTTTTTATATTAAAATATATATTTTTTTTTTCAACTTGCAATAGATTTTCATACCTGATTCTTTTGGAAGGGACACTCTGTACAACAATCGTTTTATAATAAATTTCAATTTCAATTTTCTTTGCAAGACACTCACTTCTTGACAGAATTCAGGGATTTAATATCCCAAATATAGGTGAACCTGATACTGCCTTATTCTTTTCTGGGTACCTACTCGACAGAAAGATCACTGTTTGGAGTCTGGATCAGCTGGAGTGACATCACTCCAGCAATCTATTCTCTTCCTGGATACAGGAAACAACACGAAGAGCTCCAGATCACGAAAGTGAAACCCCAATACTCATTGAAAAGCTCCGGATTGGAAAGGTATATGGTATCAGATTCACCGGAAAAACCAAGCTGTCAACTGTCATGTTTTAAAAAAGTGGCATCGTCACTATATTATTAAAAACAACTTGTTAAATATCAAATAAAATTACTGTTTGTTGGAATTTGAGTGGTTTCATTTGCACATGAAGGAACTACACGTTGTCTTAATTTTTTGAATTCCACGACCCTAGGTTATCTTGTCTTAAAGTAACAAATTCATTTAATTTGTAACAAACCAAAGCATCGTCAATCCCTAAAAGAGCTTAAGGTGCAGTGCGCCTGGAAAAAAAGTACGTCTGGATAATGTGGGACATCTGGCCTGTGACAAGACAAGTTTCATAGATGTACGAAGCCGGAATGTTAAGGCAAAACCAAGTTTAGCTGTTGTAAATCTAAAGTGCATTTATGTTTAGGCAGAAGAAAGATTGTTTTTATGCATATCATACAGTATGAATAAATAATCTTGTGTTTTGTTCAATATTTTTTACTTAACATCCCCTATTGCTGCTAATTATGCTCTATTGTATGTACAAGCGGAATATTTTATTTTCCAATAAAAGGGTTCCAAAATTCAAAGTGTCCTCATATGAGGACAACCCATAACCCATTAATGGGTGGACCCAGAGAGTAGTATGGAAAGCCCGGAACGGGTTCACCCCCTCCCCTTCGACCTTGAATTTTGCCCTGGAAAAGTGCTTTGACCTTGACTTTGGCCCTGGAAAGGTGAGCTGAAAATGTGGTTCGACCTTGACTTTGGCCCTGGAAAAGTAACCTTGAGTCGGTGTGTGACCATGAGTTGTTTGGGTACGCTATTAAATGAGAGAGTGTGCGATGCATGGAGAGCACATTTCTTGTTGAAACTTCAAAGAGCATCAACTATGGCAGATGAAGGTATTTCATGTGACATCGAAGGGAGGTGTTACATCACTTCCTATGTCAGGCAACAATTCGATTTCCCCATCCATGGTTTGGATCATAATAACCTGATAACCTGTAGAAGGTGTTATGATTCGTGGCTTGGATGGCAGAGATATGTCGAAATGCATAGACATGGAAATGAGAAGGTTCATCGCCATGTCACGGTGCTTGATGGTGATCTCATACCGCCAGACCTTACACCTAAATGCCACATTTGCTCTCACCCATGTTTCCTGATGGTCCGTGGATATGATGGATTGTCTGATATGTTGCTGAAACCCCGTATAAAAAATCGGCCCTTTTGAGGGCCACAAAATACTGATCGTAGTTTAGTTGTTTTGGCCTATTTGCTCGTTTGTTAGACCTTTAGAGCCTATGGCAACCCGCAACCCCCGCAAAAAATCTGTTGGGTTAAGTATTTTGAATATTGGTCCAAAATAACTATATGGTTTGGGGGGATGCGACCCCAAGACGGTGGAGATCCTTGGTAATCCTTCTCAGGGCAAGAAAATATTTCCATAGTAGTTTGGAACCCTGAAAAATCTGCCATTTTCAAGGCAACAAAATATTTTCATAGTAGTTTGACTTCGACAAAACCAGCCCTTCTCAGGGTAGCGGAATATTTCATAGTAGATTTCGTTCAACCGCCGTCGTGAAAACACGCTATCAATATGAATACGCACAAACCAACGGCTATTGTCAAACCATATTCAATTGATAAAAAGCGTCTTTGCATGCTATGTGAAACGCGTAGTGTCGCAATTAATCAATCGGGGTTTTGCAATATGTGCGTGAATCCTGCGGTGTAACAAGTGGTGCAGATTGCGCGAGATGCGTATGAAGCACAAAACTTTAGAGCTGCTCCCCGATCAGTAGTTTTGCAGAGATGCAAAAACATTGCTAGAGGAATTTAGCGAGCCTCAATATGCAGCGAGAGCCGACGGTTTGCAAGAGCTTTTGGAGTCTTCGCTGAAATATTATTACGTGTGATAATTGAGGACTCTTGGGTTTTTGTTTGAAATTTCGTTTTTCCCAAGAAGCGAATGAGCGGTGAAAAAGACATTAATTCACAACTGTCAACGGATTTATTCTTTAATGTAGTGAATTTTAGAATAAGCAAAAGTGAAATTTTTTTAATTGTAGCATTTAATTAAATTGCGGGAAAATCTCTAGATCAGCAGCGCCTTCGATCTGAAGTTTTCATCAGTGCGTTTTATATTATCCTTCCCAAAAATAATCTCAAAAATATGGACTTAATTGGTTTGTGTAGTTCCAAAAGGGGTTTCTACCTGTCCTTAGCGCCTGGCTGACGGACATCTTAACCTTGATGTGGGTGGTATGTTTACTCTCTTGGCTCGTGACAGATTTTAGCCCTAAACAACCCTCAAGGATACTTGGTGAGGGATAATCTGTTTTCGAAAGATCTTCCTGACAGTTCTCACTGAGTTGAGCTCAACAGTTCTGAACAACCCTTCAGCATCGAAAGTTTGTTGAGATTTTGTGCAAAATATTTCAGTTCAAAGATGGAATCAGTGTCGGTGAACTCTTCTTTATTAAACCCATCGAGCCTGAGTGACTCGGCTCAAGAGTTAATCGTCGCGAGTCTCAGTTCGGTGGGGCAGAACGTGTTTGACGATCTGCCGCTCGAATTTCTTGGGGATGATTTGGATAATACCCTGAACGACGGATTGGACGCGTTGTGCGTTGATGCGCTGGAGGAAATGGAGGACGCCTTTTCGCTCGGTGATCTGCCGCCGCCACCAGAAGTTCGCGATGGTGATAGGCTCGATGATCTGCAGCCGCCACCAGAAGTTCGCGAGGGTGATAGTCTGCCGCAACCAGAAGTTTGCGAGGATAATTTCTGCCTGGATGATGGCTGTGACGCGCAAATCGATGGGGCGATAGACGATCTGCTAATGAAGATCGAAAATGGGCAGCGGGGTACGAAGGAGAGGATCACGGTATTGAGTGATGTTGTCATCCGGCCGCGAATTGTAGGGAAACTTGAGAAGGCATTGACAATGCCTTCGAAAGTAGCGCGCAGTAAGCGCATGTTTTATGAGACGATTCGCACGGATGGATCGGCAAAAAAATCGAAGAAAATACCGGATCTTGGCCACGCCGGTTATCGAGGGACCAGGCGTTGTTTCACAGCCATCACCACAACCGCCCCAATACTCGCCGATCACTCCAGCCACTTCACCGGAACGCGAAATGCCCCCGCCGATTTCCATTCCTGTCGATAATTCGGATCAGCCGTTATTGCCGATCATCACTTGTGGGAGACGTAGGAAATCGGTCAGCGCGGCAAAAAAGGACTTGAGTGCAGCATCCGCGACGCGAATAGTGAAAAAGAGTGCGAATTTCGAATCCGCGACGACTTTTTCACAGCCGGATTGGAGCGGGTTTTCGGCCTCACAAAAAGACATTTTTTGCGCGCGATGGAAAACCATAGAAAACGCTCCAAAAACAATTGTGCGAGGAGAAGGTCGCATTGGAGCGGTATCGTAGTGAGTACGCAAAACTTCGGCAGAAAATGCTGGACGCTGAAAGCTGCATGAACAATTCCAATGCGAAAATCTCCACACTAAAAAACAATTTGCGAACTATTTCAAAGACTTTTAATTTTAGTGATAATTAGTGATAATTAGTATATATTTTGTTAGCATTAGGATGTGAATTTTAGTAAATAGTGATAAGTAGTGTATATATTTTGTAAGGATGTAGATTTTTGTAAATACATGTGTTTTTTGTTTGAAATTTCGTTTTCACATTAAAAAAACTGAATGAGGTGCGACAAAGAGCTCAGTTCACGACTGGCACCTTGTTCTAAAGACTTATTCAATAATCTAACATATTAACGAATAATTCTAACAAAAAGCTCTTTGAATCGAATTTTGTTATGGATTAAATAATAAAAATTGAAATGCTCAAATGAATCGTTTTATTCTCCCCATTAAAGTTCCCCCCATTAAAGCTCTCCCCATTAAAGTCCGTTTTTTTTTTCTTTATTAAAGACAATTAATAAAAATTGAAAATATAGAAAATGTATTATCTGAGCCAAACACTATAGAAGATTTACCAAGATTTTGTGAAGAGCTGTTGGCGAAAAATGATTGAGGGATGATAACCGCAAAAACTGGAAAATCCATATTTTGTATTTTAATTTTGTTTATATGTTATTTTGGTGAATGTAAACACACTTTTATGACTATGTATAAAAATGTATATACGGATTTCCTGTAAAATGTGATGAGTATTGTGATTATTGTGACATTATCAAAAAATACTACATAAACTTATGTTACAAAGTAGAATTAATAATCCACAATGGATTTAGTTGAAATCACACAAACTTGAGCCCACCTCTCACTTCTCTAGCGAAGTTGGCCTTGAATTTTCGGGTTTTTGCACCCACCCACCAACCCTGTGAGGCATATCAATTCTCTTCCGAACAAGAAAAGTTATCATAGTCACGCAGGCATCGTTTGCATTACGATCTGTCGCTTAACAGTTAACTAGAAATATATGTGTTTGTGAAGTATTCTGAAAGTGCATATTCAAGGTACTGTACAATCTGTTACATTTTTCTAAAATTATGAATATTTCAAAAGATACATTGGTTGAAATTAATAATATGCTGAACAAAGATGTCAATTTTCTCGAAAGAAGAAAAATTTCTTCATTAAAGGTGGACGAAGTTGACATAATTAGGAAACTGGTACCAATGGTGACACGATTTGGTAAAACTATTCTTGCCACATTGTATGATAAAACAGAAGATGTGACTTTTGAAACATTTTTACCAAAACGTGTAGCCGAAATGTTGCCGGAGAACACCATTGAAATTATAAATTCTTCATCCGATAAATACACGTTGTCATATTTGGGGCAAAGTTCGCATTTATATGGAGGTAACTCCAAGTCTCTTTTAAATTTTGGGTGTTTGAAATAGATTTTATATTATGCGTTTGGATCACCGATTTTTGCGTTTGGATCAGCGATTTTAGCGATTGGATCTAATATTCCTGCACCACTTTACTTTTTCCCCATTTTCGCGAACTTTTTTAACCTACTTACTATTTCCGTAATGTAGTTACCTATGATACCATTGCTGTCAATTATCCATTTTCTGCATGGCGTCGGTCGGCGTTTTTTAATTACTGTTTTTAATTTATAAGATGCTACCTGTGGCCGCAATTAATCATTCCGGTGGTGCTAAAGTTGATCCTCCGGTACGTACCACCGGGAGATATTCTACCTCGCCCAACTTCATTTGAGGCAATAGGGACTTCACAGTTCTATGGAATCTCCTTTGTGCGGCTTATGGCTTTACGGGAGAAAAAAAAAATGTTGAGAAAATCTCGAGGAAAATCTAAGGTAAAAATGATTTTTGGCCCCCCCCCACCCCTGGAAATATCTGTGCCGCCCTTAAAATACAACTCTGGCTACGGGCCTGTAAATACCTACTTAAATCTAAGTTTATAACTTTTCCACGGATTTTTTATCTGCCCGGCCTGAAGCGGTATCATAATAAAATATTTAATCATTATTTTGCCCTGCACCACCGTAAGAAATTGCCCAGAACTGCGGCAGATTGGAGATTCGTGGATATGCCGCATAGTGCCAGAGTCACCATTCTGAGATATCATCTTAAGAGAAAAATGACAGAGAAAAAAACTGCTGCTAAACGTGCTGCACAGGTGAAAAAATAACTGTAACTTATGTTATATTGTGCTTCACCATAAAAGAAAAACAATATTATTATTAATAGGTTTTGAAAAATGTAATGAGTTATAGGGTATTGTAATTTGTACATATTAGAACACATTCATATTTCAAATATTTCTAAAGATGTGTGACATCAGCAATAACACTTCAAGTGTTAATGAAGACTTGGATTTCTATGTGGTCTGGCTGGCGCGCAAATTGAGAGATATGGCCCAAGAAATATTACATTTTCAATATTTCAATTCGGATGTTCCTGCAAATGGTCAAAACGATTTAAAATATGTTCAAGATGCCATCAACTTTAATGCCGGAGCAAACTTATGCCGAAGATACTTATATGGTTCCTTCGGTCTTGACGAATTCTGTAGTCGAATGATCGAGGAAGGCCTGAAAACATTCCTTATCGAAATACCACATATGCCAAGTGAATTGGTAACAAAATATGGGTTGGTGCAGGAAAGTGGTCTTACTTAAGAAGAAAATAATGTACCTAAATAATTAAAATTAGTAAATTGTACCTTTGTAAAAATAAATTTTTGTACATATTGGTTTGCGTTTTTGTTTTCATCCTTTA